GTGGGTAAAAGAGGGAGTGTCCTTGTTTCCCGCCTTTTTCTCCTGTGTGCTCTATGATTTACCTCACAATGATTTTCCTGTGGGGATTTATTTTATGCTTCTGTTTGCCTTGACTATCTTGACTGACTTAAATATAGCTGTAAATATATTTATTTATATAAAACTACAAGTTCGTTTCAGCATCAACGACTTCATTTGGATACCTGCTGCGCAATTGCCTGACAGTATCTATAGAGATTCTCAATCATCCAGATCATAGTTGTCTCAAAGTTGCTTTTTCTAAAGGGAGCTGGATTGGTTTTTCTTTTTCTTTTTTGAGGAACAGGAAGCCATTTCGCTTCTCATCCAAGAAGCTTCATCCGCTGTGATGGTGGGGGGATGGAAGGATAAGTATCCTTCCACACACACACACACAGCCATCATCACAACGGATGAAGCTTCTTGGATAAAAAGTGAAACATCTTCTAATTGTTCCTCAAAAAAACAGTCTAGTTGCCTTTTGAAAATAACACCTTCGACACAGGCTTAGACTGCTTACAAACTTGGTCCCAGAACTACTACTGGATCATCCTCCAATATCAAATGTGGTGTTGGTATATTTATGATGTCAGCTGCCGAAGTATTAAGAGGGTTTCATGATATCTTCTTGTCTGAGTCAAAAGCAAGATTCTGTCACGGTTCCATATTCAGAAACTGGGTAGACTAGACTAGCTGAGAGAAGTGTGTGAACGAACCCTTAATGCTATTATTGTCTACGGAGATTCTAAATCATCCAGGTCATGATTGTCCCAAAGATACTTTTCCAAAAGGCAGGTGGACTTTCTAGGTTTTTTTCCCCCCTTGAAAACGTTTCGCTTCCCATCCAAGAAACTTCTTGGATGAGAAGGGAGATGTTTTCAAGGAAAAAAAACCCCCAAGAACTCCCACCTGCATTTAAGAAAAGCACCTTTGGGATCTTAATGTTATTCTGCTAACATGTTTCCTGTAAGTTAACAAGGAGCTGTGGTCGCACATTGCAGCATTGCAACAAGGGTGGGCTGCTGGGGGTTTGCAGGGGTTTGGGAGATCCCCTAGCTAAGTATTCTGTGCAGTTCAAAGAACCCCCAAATCCCACTCCTGGCTGTCAACGCTCACCCTGCTCTGCCGCTCCCAAGAGTCCTCACGTGGCCCCTTTTGGATGCAGGTAAATGCAGGACGCACGTCGAAGCTCGGGAAGGGTGAAAAATGCGCCTCCCAGAAGTTCGGGAAGGCTGGAAACGGGCCCCTTTATGGCTTCCAGACAGCCTCTGGAGCCTGGAGAGGCCATTTTCGCCCTCCCAGAGTCTTAAGGAAAGCCTCAGGAGCCTGGGGAGGGCAAAAACGCCCCCGCCCCGCCATGGTGCTGGAGGCTGACTAGGCCATGCCTACTATGGCCACGCCCACCCAGCAACCAGGCAGAGAACCCTTTGCTAAAATGTTCGAAGCCCAGGCTAACTCTGCCTACAGCCTGGAGTTCGATCCGTGAAGGCTTGAGGTTCACTCAGCCTTCCATTCTTTGGAGATTGGTAAAATGAGGACCCAGATTGTTGGGGGTGACAGGCCGACTCTGTAAACCACCAATAAAGGGCTGTAAAGCATTATAGGGTGATATATAAGTCTAAGTTAGGGGTGTCAAGTGCAGGCCACGCCCACCCCAGATCTGCGAAGGGGAAAAACGTCGTGAAACGTCATGTGACGGCAACATGACGTGGTGAGTTTGACCCCTGTGGTCTAAGTGCTATTGCTATGTTATCAGCTTGCCTATAGAGTATTTCTCCCTTCTGTACCTTCCTAGGTGATATCCCAATTGTCCAGCTGAATTTCATTGTGTTATCCCTGGACAGCCCCTTCAACAGGGAGATGGTGGAAGGATGTGTCCGAGAGACCCTCCTGTCTTTCTCGAGGTCCATTGCCACCAAACAGACGGTCGAGTTCACTTTCAAAGGGATTGGTGTCCTGATTGTCCGAGATAACAAGGTGAAAATGAAGTTTTATAAAGATTTTCTTCACACCATGGATGGAAGCGGGACGCTCTTAAAAGCCCTGACAAATGTAAGTTGGTTAGGCATTCATTATGTCCTAAGACTTGTTGGCCTATCTTAATAAAAACCTGCTAATGATAAATTCAATGGAACAAAAATAACCAAGTGATAGGTTCAAGCAAATCAGGACCACTATCTGTCTGAGATGCCTGTGTTTGCATTTTTGTAACAATTAAAAAGGTCAAAGTTCCCCTCACACATATGTGCTAGTCATTCCCGGCTCTAGGGGGCGGTGCGCATCGCCGTTACAAAGCTAAAGAGCCAGCGTTGTCCGAAGACGTCTCCGTGGTCATGTGGCTGGCATGACCAAATGCTGAAGGTGCATGGAATGCTGTTACCTTCCCATCAAAATGGTCCCTATTTTTCTACTTGCATTTTTACATGCTTTTGAACTATTAGGTTGGCAGAAGCTGGGACAAGTAACAGGAGCTCACTCCGTTACGCAGCACTGGGGATTCAAACCGTCGAACTGCTGACCTTTCTGATCGACAAGCTCAGCGTCTTAGCTACTTAGCTACCACGTCCCATTTTTTAACAATTAGGTTTAATTGATTACATTAATATATATATTTTAAAAATGGATATAATAAAATATAAAATTAATATAATGAAATTAACATAGCATGTTTGTTATGTTTATAAAGACAATGTTATAATTTTTCTAATATGTTTATTTTTCTACTATATTTTAATTGTTTTCAATACTTGTTTACTACCTAAACTCACATGCCTGAAATAGATGGCCATAAAAATTAAATAAATAAAGAGAATGAAAGTGGGAATGTGATGTTTCTGGATGGCTATGGGCGTTTTTGTTCTGTATGAATACTAGAAGGAGGAAGATTATAGATATCCATCTATCCATCCGATCTTATAAAGTGGTACCAACACTGTTAAAGTAACTTTACAATGAAGTAAAATTAGCTCTTCTGGTCACGTTTGCAGTCTAGTCTATCTTGTAAGGCTAACCATAGTTTTTATCATTCTCAGGATGCCATGTTGATTCTCCTTTTCTTCAACAGAGGCCAGGAACTGTGGACTCCGTAGTGTCATCCAAAGACACTCCACCATTTCCCACTTCCAACACTGCAGTGTTTCCAAGGTGGGTGTGCTTTAATAATCAGTCCACAAATTCTCTAATCTACAAATTCATCTGCAGAATAAGACAGGCAAGCCAAGTCCCAAAGGTGCTTTTCCAAGAGGCAGCTGGACTTTCTTGTTTTTCTTTGAAGACGTTTCACTTCTCACCCAAGAAGCTTCTTCAGTTCTGACTGGATGGTGGGAGAATGGAAGGATTTATATTCCTTGCAGGCAGCTGGTCATTTGCATCCTTTTAGAGGGTCGTTGAGGCCACTTGGAGGTTTATCTCTATCCTCAGGGTCCCTGAGTAGTGCAAATGGGTGTGTAGCCTTCTTGGAACTGCTGAAAGGACTGTGTTGTAGACAGGAGACAGATGTGATGCCACACCTTTCCTCTCTGTTGAGAGAAGGCTCTTCAATTTTGACAAGAATATAGGAAGACAAAAAGCTTATCGACCCCAAGGATAAAACACCCAGATGGAAACTGAGCAACATGGTATATGCAGCAGAATGCAGTGAGCCACGTGCTGATCCGTACTTTGAGGAAACAAAACAATCACTGCACGAACACATGGCACAACATAGGAAAACAAACCCATCAGGGCAAGATTCAGCAGGCCGTCTGCATTTTTAAAAGACGAAGTCCACTCTTTTGAAGACAGCGAAGTCCACATTCTGGACCGAAAAGACCACTGGTTTGAAAGAGGAGTTAAAGAGTCCATCTATGTCAACATTGAACAGCCCTTTCTCAACAGAGGGGAGGGATCAGAGGTGGTATTTGACAGGTTCTGACCGGTTCTAGAGAACCAATAGCAGAAATTTTGAGTAGTTTGGAGAACCGGCAAATCCCATCTCTGACTGGCCCCGCCCCCATCTATTCTCTGCCTCCCGAGTCCCAGCTGATTGGCTGGGTCTTCTTTTGTTGCCCTGCACAGAAGAACGGAGCTGGAAAGCAGGTTAGTGGGATGGGGAGGAAATGGAGATTTTGCAGTAACCTTCCCCTGACATGCCCACCAAGCCATGCCTACCAAGCCGTGTCACGCCCACCTAGCCACACCCACAGAACCGGTAGTAAAAAAATTTTTTTGAATCCCACCACTGGGATGGATACAACCTCATCCATCTCCAGTCTACAACTCAGTCCTTTCATCCGTTCCAAGAAGGCATCAGGAAGAGCCTCTGGCCAGTAAATCCTCAAGCTCCATTCAGCTCCCGAATAAAGGGATTAAAGGTTGTGAAAAGAAAAATTAGCATACACAACTTTAGTTTGCTTGTCTGGTCCATTTTGTAGAGCTGGTATTTTGAGACAAAGCATCCCCTGAACATTTTTAGTTTGATTGACTCATGGTGTTTTTTTTTTCCTGGTAGGCTTGAGGTCAAAGAAATGGAAACCATTGCTGAAGAAGGTGAAAAGTCGAGCAAAGAGCCAGAGCAACTGGACAAAGAGAGCTCTAAAAAAGGTTGGCGGAGAATGTACATTTTTGTGAGCTGTGTTACTGTTTTTTTACTTCACAAGTAGTAAGGATAAGCATGTGTAGATGCTCTTTTTTTCCTGAGATCTGCTTGGAACTGGGCTGTAGAGAAAATCAAGTAAGTTCTTGTAAAATCTCTGAAAAACCTAAATCATCAACCTAAGTCAATAAACACATTCACTTTGAGCCAGCATATGAACCAATAAGGAAACAGACCATCTGAACCACCAATCCGTGACAGAATGACCTCCCTCTCACCCGCGGAATTCCACACCTCGCGGCAACCAATCAGAAGTCACAAGACCGGAACCAGCCTTGTGAATCAACCAGCCTTGTGATTCAGTCTTGTGATTCAATCAGTCACAAGACCAACCAACCACCCAGGACCTGCACAAACAAACAAGACACTTCACCCCGCCCCCTGCCACTGAAGATGTTACCTAGTTTGGTAGCAAAACATCCGGGAGTCGAGCAGCAAACTTGGAGGACATACCTTTGCCTAAATCAGGGGTCCCCAAACTTGACAACTTTAAGACTTGTGGACGTCAACTCCCAGAATTCCTCAGCCTGTTGAAGTCCACAAATCTTAAAGTTGCCAAGTTTGGAGACCTCTGCCCTAAATCTGCAACCCAAGCTATGAATATTCTCTATAATTTCTAACTTAAATCATGGCTCATGATGCAAGGCAAGGAATAAGTGATCTTTCCATCCCTGTTCTGGTGTGCTCTTCTTTTTACTGGAAGTTTTAAGGGGAAAAAAAGATATTTGAAATATTTCAGTTACCAAACATGCTGTTCTACTTAGGAGAATAAAGTGTCACTAGAAGAGAATATATGTAACACAGTGATGTCCTTGGTCTCTGAGCTTGGTTGTTTCATTACCTCACTAGGTAACATCATCTAAGCTACTAACTGTGGGTTTTGCACCCTGTTCAGTGGCTAAGATGCTGAGCTTGTTGATCAGAAAGGTCGGCAGTCCGGTGGTTTGAATCCTTAGCGCTGCGTAACGGAGTGAGCTCCCATTACTTGTCCCAGCTTCTGCCAACCTAGCAGTTTGAAAGCACATAAAAAATGCAAGTAGAAAAATAGGGACCACTTTGGTGGGAAGGTAATGGTGTTCCGTACGCCTTCAGTATTTAGTCATGCCGACCACATGACCATGGAGACGTCTTCGGACAGCGCTGGCTCTTTGGCTTTGTAACAGAGATGAGCACTGCCCCCTAGAGCTGGAAAGAACTAGCACATATGTGGGAGGGAATCTTTACCTTTACCTTATATAGTAATATACTGTACTATAACTTGCCCTGCCAGTGTTAATGGGGTTGTAGTTTCCGCGGTAGTTCCATGATTAGGATATTGTTTCCTGTTTGTTTGTCTGGTGTTAATCCCTGCTTATCTGGGTATTGTCTACTGGAGAGGATGTGTACTGGTCTTGACAGAAACTGGGAAACTGTGAGCATCCAAACCAATTCAAGCCCCCAAATGCTAGGCAATTCCTGGGAAGTTGTCATTCAGGCAAATCAGCCACCAATACACATATAGAAGTAAACCATATTTACAAACGGTTCAAAAGAGACAACAAAAACTGACAAAGAAACAAAAAAGACCAGAACATATCCCCTCACACAGGCCTGTAACATGGCTTTTTACCAGTGCAGTAGTGGGATTCAGTTTTTTTTTATTATCGGTTTTGTGGGCGAGGCTTGGTGGGTGTGGCAGGAGAAGGTTACTGCAAAATCCCCATTCCCTCCCCACCCCACTGACCTGCTTTCCAGCTCCGTTCTCCTGTGCAGGGCAACCAAAGAAGACCCAGCCAATCAGCTGGGACCCAGAAGGCAGAGAATAGATGGGGGTGGGGCCAGTCAGAGGTGGAATTTGCTGGTTGTCTGAACTACTCAAAATTTCTGCTACCGGTTCTGGTTTGGACCAGTGGTTGTAATAAGATGACTTCAGATATTGGATTTAGAAGCCTTGAGAATAAGGGTGCTTTTAGGTGGCTGTCCACTTATTTTAATTCTTTTAATTCTGCCTTTTCTTATTTTTGTTGAGGGAGTCCTAAACGTTTGCCCCCGAAGTCCCCTTCTAATGACACACTTTTGTGGAAGGGTGATGGAAGTTATCTGGCAGTAGAAGAGAATAAGTGATTCTGAGAGACTTTGACAAGATTTGAATTTTTAAATGGCAGCCCAGTTCCAAAACACCCGTTCCAGAATGGACCACTTTGGCACTGGTTGGGTTGGAAGAAGACTTAAGTTAAAAGAGGAAATTATATAGAGGTGTTGTGGGCAGACTGTAAAAGAAAAACTTGTTTTGGACTCTGCTCTCATCCTTGTTTCATCTCTGTGCTTCTTAGAGCTAATATGTCCTCGGAAAAGATTGACAATTATCGATGGTTGGCTTGAAAGCTCTTCCATTGACAACCTGCAGTTGTGTCCTAAAGTTCTCAGATAACCTCTGCTTTATTTACAGAAAATACGTTCTCCAAACGCTTTCTCTCCCGTCAAGCAATTTTTCCAGCCAAAGTGTCCGGGATTAGTTTAACCGAGGAACTCGAGAAAAACCGGAAGCCCAAACCACCACCTTCTTCAAGGTGAGTTCTTAAATCTGAAAGCGTCGGTGAGACTTTTTTCTTTAAAAAAAAAATAAAGCTGGATATCTTATTTTCTCTAATTAAAAGTCAATTTTGCCATCTCTGCTAGCTCCCACCACTTTTCCCATCCATTTTTCTGTTGGAGGATTGACGCATCTTTCCATCTCTGTGCATAAAGAATTCTTGCTGGAGGCACGTATGTTCCTCTTGGATTCTAGGTGCTCACTAAGGAAGGATTTTTCAAAATGACCATCAGCGCATTAGTATTTCCTATATTATTATTATTAACATGCTCTGATGCTAAAGAGTTCTAATCCCCCTCCCCACCTAAAAAGAAACCTGTCCCAAATGCAAAACACAAGCAGAGGAGAGGAGTTTCAATTTCAATTTCAGAGCACCAAGCAGCTTTAGTTCAGAACAGTTGAGCTAAGCCATGCCCAGGCTCCTTGCTGTCTCCTTCTTGCTCATGCAGCAAATGCTGTTTCATTTTCCAAACAGCCCTCAACTCTCTCACACACAGACAGGACGCTAGCCAGATGAATACCGATGAATGCTGGTAGGCAGAGGCAAAATTCCCTCCCCCCCTTATTTTCCTCCCCCAAAAACTAAGCCCGACCACAAAGTTTCATAGAGAAGCACAGGTATCGAGCTAGTATCAAGATAAAACCAGAGCCTTCTCTTTGGATTTAACGGAACAAGATTTGGGAGAAAAAAAAATGGATCTTTGATGTTATATAAGTTGATGGCAGCAAGATTACTTTATGCCCCAAAATGGAATAACTCTTCAATTCCCACAATCTATGACTGCTCTGATTAAAGCAAAGAATATAATTACTTTTGTTTCTATTTGGAGAAACCACTTCTGGATTTTATTCTTGAGCTGGAAAAAAACCCCAAAGCTTTGATTTGGGGTTCTGCTGATTAAAAAGGTTGTATTTTATTTAAGATGGGGAACAGAATATCTGTATGTGTGTGTGTGTGTGTGTGTGTGTGTTTATGTTTATGTATATGTATATGACAGACAAGGCTTGGAATCACATATTTCACCTTGCATAATTCATTTTCATTTGTTGCTTTTCAATTCAGGTTTGGTAGTGATTAGCATTATTAATGGTGTCCAGTTGAATTCTATCCTTCCTCCTCATCGCAAGCAATTGTTGAGCCAACATATTGTATGCTGCTTGGCTTTTAAATATTTTAGAGGATCGTCTTGAGTAACACAGCCTGCCAACTGTTGATCTTTTGTCTGTTGGAAGGTATCCCTGAAAAGCTGACTTGCAGGCCATTCAATATGTAGGGACACCTTGGATTTTTTTAGTTAGAGGCACAGCTTTCTAATGGGAGGTAAAAGGTAAAGGTTTATCTGTCAGTCATGTCCTGCTGTAGGGCACAGTGCTCATCTCTGTTTCTTGACCGAGGAAGCCAGCATTGTCCGAAGAAATTTTCCATGGTCATGTGGCCAGGATGGCTATATGCCAAAGATGCACGGAATCAGAGGTGATTTCAGCTGGTTCTGACCGGTCCTGGTGAGCTGGTAGGGAAAACTTTGACTGGTTCAGAGAACCGGTAGGGAAAATTTTGACTGGCCCCGCCCACCTGTCCCTGCTCTTACCTCTCACCTCTCCTATATTCTGCTGTTTATTGGCTCAGCTGATTCGCGCAGCACAGCAGATTGCCGCGCCTCAGCTGAGCTAAAAAACAGCACAGCTCACCAGGGAAGGGCTGTCTCTAAGCTCTGCACGGCGCAATTCACACGTTTGGTGTGCACTTGCAATAGACCCACCTACACAGCTCACCAGCGTTGATTCAAAGGATGGAGTTTGAGTACTGCGCATGCACGCGCAATGCAAGCTCTGAAGTAAGCTCCAAAGTGGTAGGAAAATTATTTTGAAACACACCACTGCACAGAATGCTGTTACCTTCCTGCCAAAGTGGTACCTATTACAGGTAGTCCTTGACTTACAACTCTTGTCACTTTTTTCAGTGCTATTATAACATTGAACACTCACTAAATCTGTGATGGTGAATCTATGGCAGCCCTCTCTGTGGGCATGCGCGCCATCGCCAACTGCTCTCCTGGTTTCTGGCACGCACACGTGCACCAGCCAGCTGATCTTTGCAGCTGTTAAAGCATTGGAAAACAGCCTGGAAAATGCCCCCAAACCAGGGCATTTTGGGGCCGTTTTTGAGTAGGTTTGGGGCCATTTTCAGGCTGTTTTCCAAGCCATTTCAGGCTGTTTTTCAGGATATTTTCAGGCCGAAAATGGCCCCAAAATGGCCTGAAAAGAGTCCCAAAATGGGCAAAAATAGGCAAAAAACCAGGCATGCGTTGCACCAGCCAGCTGGTCTTCAGGTTTCCGGTGCTCCAGCATGCACACATGCATGCACGCTCCAGTTTGGACACTTTGTGCTGAAAAGGTTCGCTATCACTGCACTAAATGCACCATTCATGTTGTAATTGCAGTCTACCCGTAATCTCACATTTGCATGCTTTCAAATTGCTGTGTGGGCAGGAGCTGTGGCAACTAACAGGAGCTCACCCCAATGCACAGAGCTCAGGTTTCAAACCTAGGCTGTCAGCTCCCTAGCTCAGCATTTCTAACTACTGAGCCATCGTACCCACTTTGAAAGGGAGGAGTGAAGTGAAAATAAACCAAATCCACTTCCATTCTTTATACATGGGAACAGTTTTCACTTCATTTGGAGCCCTCTTTTTCCCCAAACAAATAATTTTGGGTCCCCCTGTTTACAGGCCTCTGGAATCTCCCAAGGCTGGGCTGCTAAATTTGATGGTAAAGGACCAAAGCACAGCAATGGAATTTACCAAGGATTAAGCCACATTTTGTGCACAATAGTTAATATAAAAGGTGTGCATTAAAAATGGAATCCCTGGATCCATATTGCTTGCTTTCTGAGACTTGGACCAGTGGTAGGATTCAATTTTTTTTACTACCAGTTCTGTGGGCATGGCTTGGTGGTCATAGCAGGGGAAAAAGAAAAGACACTGTAAAATCTCCAGTCAGAGGTAGTATTTGCCGGTTTTCCAAACTACTCAAAATTTCTGCTACCGGTTCTCCAGAACTGGTCAGAACCTGCTGAATACCACCTATGATGTGGATCATGGGGTTAAATGACTAAATGACCAGTCATAAACTGAGGACTATCTACAGTGTCCTGTAGCGTGAGGGAACTGTACGAGTGCATACAGCTCTGGAAGGTGGAGTTAAATGCATCATTGGTTTAGAGTCCTTGCATTGCCACAAGAGATCCAAAACCAGCTCCGTGGATCCTTAGGTAGCACTGACTTAATGCTGACCATCAGTTGACTAGATTAATGACAGGTGTAAAGAATCGAGATCATATGTTGAGTTCAAGCACAAAGGATTTATTATTCCAGCCTATACGCAAGAATCTAGTCAACTAACAGTCTTTTGTGCTGTTGAGTCTCTTTTGGCAACACGAAGTCTCTAAACTGATGACACATTTAACTCCGTCTTCCAGCTTCTCCTGCTCTTCTCTGACATCAACAGTGGCAAAC